GCACAAATTATGTTTATTATGATAAAAAAAGTGTTTAAACATATCAGAGATAATCAAATTATATGTAAATCTCAATAAAAGTAAACATTTAAAAAGTTTTTGTCTAAAAATATCTTTAAAAAAGATCAAGAAAAAATTCCATTTTTTTCATATTTTTCAAATTTGATTTTCTAAAGTAATGTACAAAGTTAAAAAAGTTACTTTATATCTTAAACTGTATTTGACATTCCATTAATATTATGTGTTTATTGTAAAGAATGTAAGACAAGCATTAAATCTGTAGGTTTTATATTTTGTGAAAGTGGGTGGGGTAATTTTATATGATAATTGTGAAAGAAAAAACAACAGAAAATCTACATAGCTAAGTTCATTCTATTTATTTGCCTTTTTACTTTTCATTTTTATAGTATAATTTGTTGCACAAATTATGTTTATTATGATAAAAAAAGTGTTTAAACATATCAGAGATAATCAAATTATATGTAAATCTCAATAAAAGTAAACATTTAAAAAGTTTTTGTCTAAAAATATCTTTAAAAAAGATCAAGAAAAAATTCCATTTTTTTCATATTTTTCAAATTTGATTTTCTAAAGTAATGTACAAAGTTAAAAAAGTTACTTTATATCTTAAACTGTATTTGACATTCCATTAATATTATGTGTTTATTGTAAAGAATGTAAGACAAGCATTAAATCTGTAGGTTTTATATTTTGTGAAAGTGGGTGGGGTAATTTTATATGATAATTGTGAAAGAAAAAACAACAGAAAATCTACATAGCTAAGTTCATTCTATTTATTTGCCTTTTTACTTTTCTGTGAATTCTTATGCAAATGTTCCAACTTAAAAAGTACTTTTTATTAGATGAAAGTATTTTTGTCTTCCTTCGGGCCATTTGGTGGGTGAGCAAGAAATGCACATACAAACATGTGTATACATTCAATTATTAAATTTGGTTGCATGATGATTCTTGTTTCAATATATTTGATATCATATATTAATTGTTAATCGTAAAGACATATAAGAAGACAATAAATCAACTAAACGTGCTTAAAATAGCAAACATGTACTTGAATGTAAGGTATAAAGGTAGTCTATAAACGCATATTTTTGACTCCTTCACAATTTTTATATTTATAATATAAAATGGCTTAAAAGCCAACAAAATGTATGTGATGTGAAACATATATATCAATGATATGGCCTGGCCTGCATGTAACTTTTTGAAAAGTTAAGATACAAACTAAGTGTACTAGTATTTCCTAAAGTAATCATATCTTTTTTTTCTTTCAATAAGAGGGTAATGATGACCCTGGATCACTCACCTAAGATCATTGTTGGAAAAAAGGTAACAAGATCATTTTGGGAGTGTCAATTATGTCATAACACACATGATTTGTGTCATAATTGAATCCGGTTGCTTTTAAAGAAACATGCTCAATATCTGCTTTCAATTTTTTATTTCACACGAGAGAACTTTAATAACCATATCTATATACGAGTCCATATAAACTTAGTGACCTTTTGTGTTTGGTAAATTTGGACCATGTTGTCCATGATATATCATTATTATAACAAAATTATGATGATACATGATTAATGTATATGCGTCGGATAGTGTAGGTTAAGAGAAAACAGATTTATTACAGTAGTCTTTGTAAATTAAGTGATACCATTGCAAAACCATTTTAGACTGCAGTAGCATCATACAAATTTATGCATGTTATATCAGTCTACATCCCAAATATCTTATTTCAAGCCAGCTTAGTACCAGTGCTCTATGCATTTTGATTTTGAGAATATTTTTTATTGCATGTACACTTAATGATACAAAAGTGTTTTATGTAACTTTTAAAGAGGTCTTCTTTACTTGGCAAGGTTATATTTTGACTATCTAAGCTCTAGGCATTACAGTTTGTTTGTTTGTTGATTTTTTTTAATAACATCAACAACAAAACAACTTCAATGCGATTCCCTACACAAGTCTTTAAAAACTGTGTTCCTCGTGAGGGCCTTTAAATCATGTTTCTGCAGTCCACTGGCTTTCCCTGTCACTTAGTTTACATTGACTTATATATTAAAATTCTTCTCCGAAACTATGTTTACAGAGAAGAGAAAATATCGTATATCATAACATTGTGATGCTATATAAAGATTATAAACTATTGGCATAGGGTCAAAATCACTTAGTTGACATGGACTCTTACTGGAATATAGTTATATGAGTCTTCTTGTAGTTCTGAGAGCCTATTTATTGGACATGATTCTTTAAATCATGACTGGCGAAAAAAAGATACTCCTTATATGATTTTAGCATTCTTCAGTATAAAAGAATTATAGACCTTTTCCAGCAGTGGGTCTTAGGCGCGTGATCTAGGGTCAACAATGCTCTCTTGTTTTATGGGAAAAATAAAGTAGGAACACATTTAGTTTATATTCCAAAGTATATATTAAGCTATGTTTGTTATGTGAGTCAAGCGGTTTTATTGATACCTATTTTAGCACACCCAGTCATTAGATAATATGATGTATCAGTCGCCTAAATTTTTGTTTCTTTTGAAAATATCATGTCTACATAAGTTATTAGAAATGGACGGTACTTATTCAATTATACTTGGTTACAATGATGTGCAAGTAAATATAACTTTGAATCATTCTGTTACAAGCTTTTAGCAAGACTAAATTGTGCAGGAAATAATTGTATTCATAAATAGACAACATTTCACTAAGGTCCAGGCATGATTTTATCTAACGTATGGTTCGTTGATGAATATCCAGTCTTCTTTCTGTACAATTATCAAGTTATATTATGACTATTGAAACAACTTATATCATGCAAACACGTTTAATAACTGAATGTATACATATGATTGTATCTGTATTTATTGATATTTTAGTACAGCCTCTAGACCTGAAGGAAAACAAAAATACCTTAATACAATAAAATACTTTTACAGTGAATATTTGCATAAGAATTCTTAAAAAACGTTATTTTGTACTACAATTGTCTGATAAATTTACCCCACCCACTTTTAATAAGTATAAAACCTTCACATTTTTGTTTGTTTTTGTTACAATTATACAATAAAACATAGTGTTGATTGAATATCAAATACACTTTAAGAAACTATGTAACTTTTGGAATTTTGTACATAGACCTAGAAAACCATGTTAGAGAAAAATGAAAAAAATAGCACTTTTTCTTTGATTTTTTTAAAGATTTTTTTGTACAAAAAACTAAAAACATGACTAACAATGTGGTTAACCTAAAATTTGATATTTTTTCTAATATAGTTAACAATTTTATATGGAAATACGCATACCGTGTGCAAAAAATTATACTACAAAAGAGATATATCAGTTTTCATTAAAATTGGCAGCCATATTTGACGCCATCTTGGATTCTGAAGAAATATGCAAGAGAAATTACTTAAAGATTTAAATTTTTGAAAAGAGGAAACTATATGCATGCTTTGGTGTAAGTTTCAGGTCTGTACAAAAAATTGGAATGAATGATCTATTATGTACATCAAATTTATATGGCGGCCATCTTGAAAATGGCGGCCATCTTGAATGAGCAGAGATATTTTTGGGCCCACTTCACTTTTGAAATCGACATGGTCTAAAGATAATTTCCTGAAAGTTTCATGCTTGTATCACAATTTGCACTATTTTGACAGCAGAGACCTTATTTCCCGCCCCACTATATTCTCTGATATCGAATCCACAATATTTGCTATAAGTTTCACAATATCACCTGATGACCTTGGTCCCGGATCTTTTCTTCGCTCATCCGTTTTTCAGAATAAGCATTTTAATTGTGCAAAATGAAAAGCGTTTAAAGGAATCGAATGATTTTAAAATGCCAAATATTATTAACACACATGATATTCTTCAAAATCATACCGATGGCGATGTCGTCATTGTTTCCCGTCAATCTCTCGGAAACACAAGTAACACCTAAGGCACAAATCCAGAAGTTTTGGCTTCTGTTCCACATTTTAAAATACAAGTGCCTAGATATGTTTTCGCAAAAATCGGATTTAGGAACATGCATTTAATTCTAGTCGCTCTTTGGAAAAAAACACCCAAATAAAATGGAGGTTTCTGATGCATTTTCACTAGACACAACCTCAAGTTTGTGCATTATTTCAGGCACGAACAAGCACCTGAGGAGTAGAACCACATACGCTCCGTTAGCTAGCTGGATAGCTTCCGCCATGAATTAATCAAAAGTCCCAGGCGGGATTTGAATACACAGAGGTGATGTGCAAGTGGATTGAAGTGAACCACCTAAACCACTCGGCCACGGACGCAATACTTTAACACATACACATGCTGGTCTTTCTTTGATTTGTAAATGATGACAGTTGATGACTTATGATGCATATCCGGATGCACATTTTATAATACACATATTTACATTTCCCAGAAAATTTCAGACATGCAACAATGTAAATACTACAGGAACCTTTTCTTCACACTTCATAAGAGTATGATGTTGTAAAACCAGGACTTTTTCACAGCCAAGGGAAGTACAATTCCCTTTAATTTTGGGAATTTTACGAGAAACATGATACCTTTGCAAAAGTGGAAGAAAAAAACTTGATGTTTACTGAATTTTATGGGAAAACTATTTCTTATTTACCAATATTTACGTATCTACAAATGGGCTCTTTTCCTAGACTCAAGCAGGCGCTTAAATATACCTCTAAACTTTCCAAAAATAATATAGATCTACTGAAAGCGCCTTCATGGCCCTGAATAATATCTATATTGGCGCAAATGGCCTCAAATACTGTAGAGTTTAGACTGATTGAGTTTATTTTATGACGGGAAGCTCAGCTGAAGCCCGGGATCCAATATACAATAATTTAATGTATATTCATGTACAGTGTATATATCTTTATAGATCCAGACAGCTATTTTGATTCAAAATGAGAATTACATGCAGCTGGTTTTAAAAATGCCGTGTTCTATTTGTGTTGACATAAAAATAAATACGATGATACTGTAGTTTTATTCAGATTTTCTGCAAGAGTTAATGTAAATTAATAATTGACATGTATAAATTTAAACAATATTGAACACAAGTTTTGCATTGATCTCCTTATGACCAGAATTACTGAACATTTTCATTAGTGAAATAATATTTGATTTGTTTGTAAGCTAATCACGTGATGCATCTTCTCGGCGAATTTGTTGAACAATAAAAATATTATAAGTTGATAAAATGGTTCGTTCATTTTATAAAAATAATAATAAATGTTTCCTTGGCAGACCGGAAATGGCTAGCCAACAATCTGATGCTTCTGTGTACCACAATGTGCACATATCCCTCGAACACTTGTTCTACCGTTCGCCATTTTGACAAGATGTTCATACAAAGTCTCTGTCTTGATTCTACATCTCAAACAGTATATCTTCATTCTCCCTGTAAGTGTAAAACGAATCGTAGTTAATGAACAAAATCAACACGTTTTTTGCCCGTCTTTCATTGACAGCGACATATACAATTGACAATATTTAATTATTTTTACCCGTACAGCGCCTGCCCTAAGCCAATCATAACGCAGAATTCAATACCACACATTAAAAAACAAAATGGACGACAAAGCCCCTACAGGGTAAATCTTTAGCATTCCTGCATTCAAATCGCACCATAATAAATACATAAATTATGCAAATCATACAATAATATAGACAGAAGCCATGCAAATCATACATGGAAGACAAGCTTTACATGTCAGTTATAAGAACAGTCAAAGCTCGCCCAATACTTTACTTATATGTCTAATAAGGTGCCTGCATTTGAAAATGTGCACATAATTTTTTATAACGTTATCTAATTATATGCATTACCTGTTATTTTTATTTTTCCTTTTCTTTAACGAATGTTAGCACTTTTTGTCTGTATCAGACAACGAAACTATGTATAACAACTGTATTTCAGTTTAAACTTTGTGTGATATAACCTATTTACTTGCGCTAAAAATATATTTATTATCAAAGTGCATCCAAGTCACGTGACAATGATAACAATTTCATAACATCCTTATTTTCCGAAAACGAACAAACCAGTTATAAATACCCATTGGTTTTGATAATTTATGCACGGACGAGATTACACACTTTTGCTTAATCTTGCAACTTTGACGAACAGTAGTTGTTTAATGGACTTTGAATTTGAAACTGAAACAAAAAATGTTCAATGTATCTTTTGGTTGGGGGGCCGCGCCGAAAAAGTGGTCACTTTTTTAACAACATTTCTCAAACAAAAACAAGTGTTAAGGGCCTAAATAATGCATTTTTTCACCATTTGAGACAACAAAAAGGGGGGGGGGGGTGGGGGTGAAAAAGGCGTTAAAAGGCGTGTATATGAAGTAATGGGTTAACAGAAAATGATGAAAATACTTGAAATTACTCTAAATCGCGTTTTTCCATGTTTAAACATGGCCTGTCATATAAATTTGAAGAAAAATTGTTGTTTTGTAGATTTTTTGATTTTTTTCATTAACCCATTACTTCATGAGCATTTTGTGAAAAATGGCTGTTTTCATTGAAAAGGCTCCCGTTACAAGTTCAAATTGCTATAATACTATAAAAACTGCTTCAACACTAATCAAACTTGGCACAAATGTTGGCTGGACCATTGCCCTTGCAACAACATGCTCAGGCTCAAATTTTCTGTTACCATGGCAACGAGGGGACATCTCAAAAAAAAATT